TGCTGTGCCTGCAGAAGTTTCTTCATTCATTCATCAACTCCATTCATTGTACTCAAGAAGGGGACATTTGGGCGAGGGCTCCATGTCCTGAATGTGTCCTGAATGTGCGGGGTGGCGGAGGAGCGCATTCCAGCCCCTGAGCTTCAGGCAGGGTGTGCTGTCACAGGCAGAGACACCCCTGCTAACTGGGAGGCCCGTCTCTGTCTCTGCTCACTTCTAAAGCAGACCACCTGGGGTGTTCCTGGTACCTGGGCATGTCTGTCAGGAGCCACGCTCTCTTGTCCTTCCCTCCACCCTGACCACCCCTCCCCATTGCTGTCCTCGACCCCCCAGACTGGATTCTGAGCTGGAAGAGGGGAGATTTTGCATGGTGGTCCTTCCAGGGAGAGTAGAGTGAACATGGACAACAGTGAAAAGAAAAAGGGCAGAGAAGAGCCTGCCTCTTCTACTACGGGCCGATGGCAAACACTCAGTCCTCCCTGGCTGGCCACCCAGTGTGAGGCCCAGTCTGCTGAGGCCCAGTTTATAGACACGGACACCGAGGCCCGAGAAGTCCATTGCCTGCCCGGGGAAGGGCTGTGGACCACGGCTTTTACACCCGTTACGAAAACCAAAACACTGACCCCATGAGCTGGGGTCTCCGTGGAAAGCCCCTCCCACGCTCACAGCCGCAGGCTTTACTGCTAGCACAGGGGACCAGGGTCAAGACCGGGCAAGGCGTGGCGGGCTCAGAAAGCGGGCTTGTTTTCCGTGGGCCCTCCCTGCAGAAGGAGTGAGGGGGGCCCCTGGGTGCCTGGCTCACCGCCCACCTGTGCCCTCCTGGAGACCTCGGGGAAGGAGGCATGCTCAGAGGGACCCAGGAGGCCCTGGGGGCTCCAGGAGGCACGGTTTCCAGCTAACCAAGGAGAGGGGCAAGGGCCTTCTGACAGGAGGGTGCTCAGAGGGGCTGCAGCTGGCGTCAAAACCCACTGCCCTAGAGGAGGATCCGGTGTGTGTGACTGCACAGGGTGCTCCTGAGGAGCCGGGTGGTGAGCTGTCTCGAAGTGACTGTGCGCAATGGCAGAGGCCTGCCGTCCCTGGGTTTCCAGGAGATTAGCCAGGCTTTTCTTCCTAGCCTTAGTCTGCCGGCCCGCCTCAATCTGTTCAGCCTCAGAGCCAGTGCACAAACAAGCCTCCACTGCCAGGCAGGCGGGAAGCCAGGCCTCCCCCATTTAGGGCCCCCACCACCCAGAGACCAGCTAGGAGGTGGTGGGCTGGCCTGAGGAGGGAGGGCTGCCCAGTGCCTCGGTGCGTTTTGAAGGATTTGTTGATGAGTCAGAGGTGGACAGTGAGGAAAAGGGGACTCCAAGGGTCTGGGCCTCACAACTAGAAGGATGGTGTCGCCAGCCAGGATTCGAGGTGTGTGGGGCCAGAAGGGCAGGGCAGGAGCCCAGGGTACATGTGGGGCATCTCAAAGCCTGGGAGGCATCTAGGGGGATGGCAGGTGAGGCTGGAGCCTGGGAGGGAGTGCCAGGGTGTGAGGAGAGGGCACAGAAGAGCAGCAGCAGCAGAGGCTGGTAAACTCGCCCGGTGCTGCCAGGGCAGGGCCGGGGAGACCCCCAGGCGGGCCTCCAGCTCCGCCCTCCTAGACAGGCTTCTGCCTTGGGGGTGGTGTGGATGTGCCGAAAGAAGGGAAGGTGTGTGTCCACGCTTTTTCTAGTGGGCTCCCCTATAAAGGTGTTTCGTTTCTCTGGGAAATCAGTCTGTTTTTTTGTGTGTGATCAACATATTTCCCCCTAGTATCCATGTTTCCCATCTGTGTGCGATAGGACTGGCCCTCTTAGCCCATGGTGGTGCCCACTGGGGTAGAATCCTTGTGGGCTCTCCGTGGAGCCATGAGGGGCCAGGTAGGACTCAGGCAGGACTTGGGGCCCTTGAAAGCCCTAGAGTGTCCAGGAGCTTTGTGGAGCCCTCGCACAACAGAGCTGACGTCATCCTCTGTACGCTTGTATATCACGTTTCCAGACCCAAAGACAAATCACGATGGGTGTAGTAAGACATTAATGATAAAAAGGCAATAACAATGAAAGCTTTGGGGGGAAAAACGGAATTTGAGTTACGTGAGAACCAGCTAGTAGTGGAGTCAGTGGGCTGGAAGCAGTCCCGGTCCAGGACGACCTGTGGCTTTGTGGCTAATGACTGGGCTCTGATCAAGGGACGGGAAGGACAGAGTGGGGGCGTGTATGTGGCACACACTGTCGAGGTGTCAACTTGATGGTGTGCCGTGCCCGTTCTTTCCCCTCCTCCTCACCGTGAAGGAGCGCTGTTGTCAGGGTGCTGAGAGTGTGGTCTAGACTAAGGTGACCAGACGTCCCGCTTTTGGCGGGACAGTCCAGATTTTTAACAATTTTTCCCGCGTCCCAATTTTAAAAAGTCCCATTTTGGGGGAAAGAATGCACGACAAGCTAGGGTATATGGTTTTCGGCTGCCATCTGGCTATTTCACCAGGATATGAGTTTTATCAGTGGTGTCCCGCTTTGCCAATGTTAAAATCTGGTCACCTTATTTTAGACCCACGTGTCATGTGTGACCATGCACGTCCCCCTGCTGGGGCCCAGCTCAGGAGGGGCTGTCCACTTTGGCAATGCCTTCTCTCTGGACACAGCCCTGGTGGTGTACCGATGCCCCATGGAGACGCTAACCACAAGGCCAGCAGTTGGGAACCACCAGCGGCTCTGAGGAGAACGATGAGGCCTTCTACTCCCATAGAGAGTTACTGTCTCGGAACCCCACGGGGGTTCTGCCCCGCCCTGTGGGGTCATGAGAGTCAGCATCGCCCCAACGGCAGTGAGGTTAGTGTGTTCTCTGGGTGGGCCACAGCTTCATTCAGATCTGGTTTTCTACTTCAGCCCCGCCCTGCCCCAGTGCGCAGCTTTGGGGTCTCCCTGGGAACATCCTCCCACTGCAGGGTTGTTGGAACAAAGTACCCCATCGGGACAGACAGCCCGGGGAACCAGGTACAGGGTCACTGGGGGTAGCGTTGACTTGGGGAAAGGTGAAGATAGACAGCCTGGGGAACCCCAGAGGGCAGCTGTCCGTGATGAGGTGAGTCACAGACTCTGAATGGGGCAAGCACACCCCACCCCGCCCTGCCCTGGGCGCCTGCAGCAGTTAGGTCCCCCATCTCAGCTCCATCCATTTCCCGAGCCTTCTCCCAGGAGAGGAGGTCACGCCCAGGGCAGTAGTGGCATTTTAGGAAGTCCCTCACCCCCTCGAGAGTCCAGTGTCCACGTCTGTCAGTCCCTCCTGAGGTGACAGGCTCCGACAGGTGAAAGCTCTTGAGGCACCAGGTGCGTTGGGGGTGCGAGTGGGGGTTTAATGGCTCATCTTCTAGGAGTGATGGCCAAGCCTTTCTTCCGAGATGCCCCGGGGGCACTCAAGCCCAGGCTTTGGATGGCAGCTCTGTGCTGGCACTGTCATTCCCTGGGCAGTTGAGACACACCCGTGGGACGTGGAGGTGCCCTGCCCGGCTGGCGGCCTGACCCGTTCCA